TAAAAATGACTCACCATTCAATTGAATTTATTATTACATGTAATTTTTTGTAGAAAAATTATAAAAAGAAGATGATTTCAAAATATGAACTGATCAAGAAAATCATCATTTATTGGTATATGATGCACCTCATATGTTAAAGTGTATAATTAATATGAGTTTTTTTATCATATCCCTACTAGGTAGAGTCATTATATTCTAGTTTATTTTATTGAGCATTGCAAAAATAAAAATAAAAAAAAAGATGATTTTATGTTTTAAATAAAACAAAATATAAATTCCATGAAAGAATATATTATAAACAATCTTAAATACTATAGTTGGGCATCAAAATAAATCAAGATATACTAGCATCTATGGCTCCATCAATGTCATCACTTAGTTGTCTCACTATCTCCATATATAATGGCACTTATAGATCTCATATTTCCACTAGTATATCAAATTAAGTCTGAACTACTCTATCGTAGTTTATATATACAACAAGTTTCATGATTGTATTTTTTTTTTTATTGATTATGACTTATTTTTATTAATATAAGTTTAATTGAATTTTCAATTATATTTAAATTGTAATTTTATTTTACATATTATTGTTAATAAAGTAATTTTATATATTAATTTATATTGTTTATATATATTCTACTGCTTTCAAAATATCCATAAAAAATGGATAAACCAGGACAAAATTCTTCAAGATGCAAAACTTTTTTCTTTGCCTTCAAAATTAAATACTCTGATTTGATTAGATAGTAGTATAATAAATTGTTCCAGTTTGAGCATTAATTTAGAGGACATTTGCATCTAGAAGTTTCAAGCCTATATGACTGGATGCTGCTGGTCTACGAAGCTATCTAATTAATTAGTTAATCGGTTGATAAAATCAAGTGTCATTACTCCATAAAGAATTTCCCATAAGAGAAAAAGGTGGCTTGAGATTGAATTTCACTTGATCCAATGGTCTATGGATATAAAAATTAATTAACGCAGTTGCCTAAATTAAGCTGGATATGTGCACGTAGACCCGCACATCTTTTCATTACACTCCAAAATCTAGTATGCTTGCGAATAAATTTTATACAAAAAAATTAATAAGCATATGATGGTAAAGTTCTGCTTAATCGGAAGATGAGATTTATTTTCATGGAAAATAATTGAAAGTGTTCCGATTACAATGACTGAAGAGGAGAAGTGAGAATTTCAGCTTTGCATAAGCATGCTAGCTGTGATGTTTGAAGAGAAGAAAAAACAATTAAATGTGAACATGGGGATCAGTTTTGATCGAGCAGTTGCTAATTGAAGTGCATGTGAACATGCTATAACTTGCAAGATAAATTCAAGTAATTAAGCCTAGTGCACTGCAATAACAGGCTTTCTTCTTCTCATGTTAACAGGTTTTGATCAAAAGTCTCTCGTAGATCCTTAAACAATTACCATAACCAAAACTGGGTTGGAAAATGTTCAAAAGATGGTAGCAATGTAAGTGAATAAATCAAGAGCTTTCATCACCTCAGTCTGAAAGACAGTTCTATATAGACTAGCTCTAAGATGGTATCTTTTGCTTAGCCTGCAGCTAATTAACAACTTAATTAAAAAGACTCTTTGAGTGGAGAAACTATATATTGTCTTGATCATATAAATATGATCATGTAGGATTTGTTTGAGCATAGCAACGACTCTTTCCCTTCGAAGAGGGAGTAGTTTTGAGGTCGCAGCAAAGCTCAAGCCTATTTAGTACATGATGAGAGGAATAGGGTGGCTCGTCTGAAGACAGAGCAAGCTCAATAATTAGGTGGAAGGGCTCTGAATGGCAGTTAACTACTCTTTCATGTTACCGTCCCTTTCTCTTCATTTTGACTTGCTTTAATTAGTGGAAATTAAGTATTTTATTAAGATTCAATGAGTTAATTAACTGTGTGATTAGAGAAACACAAAGTAAAAATTAACATGTGTGGCACTGGCATCAAGATGTTTTGGATTCGGCTTGTTTCGAGTTCTTGTCTTGACTTGGGACAAAAGTTAAAATATACTTATTTTCTTAAATAAAATATTAGTAATACTTATTCTCTGAAGAAAAGTAATATTAGTGCTTCGGGAAGGAAAAAGAAATGTCAACAGTCTTGACGTTGAGCCACGGTATAGTTTTCTACAAATGCAATAGTTTTTTTTAAAACATGTTGTTTGAGAGGCTGGAGCTCTCATTAAAAGAAATTCCAGTGTGTTAATAATCCATTTAAATTAAAAATGTATTAATTTGATGTTTTTTTAATTATTATTTTTATAATTCTGATATATTTATATCAAGACCATTTAAAACCACAAAAAAAAACATATCAAAATAATACATTTTCAACCCCATTATTCTTTCAAAATCACCTCCAAATATAGCTCATAAAAATAATAAATTAAAATCATGATTATATTCTAGTTAGGTAATCATTGATGCACTTTGTGTATGTGTTTCTGTATTTTTTTAAATTATTTTTGTTTTCCTTAAATAAATGGAACATCTTTTAAAACAATTTCATTGGGTGATCAATTTATCTAAACCAGGATTCTGGATTGTAATTAGATCTCTTAAGTAACTTCTTAAACTAATCCAAATATAATTAATTATACAAAAACATGCATGCCTGGTGCATGCAAAGCACGACAAAAGGTATTAGTAATTACGCCGCCAAGGAGATTGTCGCTTTTGGTGGGGAAATAATTATATTTTTGTCCGGCCACCTGCTTCAAAATTCATCAATGGAAAGGTAAAACAGAGACTAATCAATTGTACTTGAGAGGACGATCAATGAGTCGAGGCATAGTTTTTTTTTTTTTGTTTTGCCCTTTATTTAGTAAGTTTCTTTTCAGAGTTTTGCTAGTGGAAACTGGACAAACTATTAACCAATAATAATACTTGAAAAATCTGTATTCTTTCACTTTATTGAGAATTTACATTTAAAAGATTTAATCAATTTTATTAATTGAAATGTTGACGTGAAGTTGGATTTAGTTGACACTATTTTCGCATTTTCTATTTTTTTTAGAAATAATAACATTTGAAGTTATATTATTAATTTAATCAATTAAAGCCAAACAGAGGACCAAAAATATACTGCTTTGAATGATATTTTTTTGGACTTCTCCCTAATCTCTCCTTGGAGACGAAATTTCAAATCACCTTATGGAGTATTATGTTGGTTTGAGCTATATATATATATATAAACTCGTTGCATCTAGAAGTTTGAAGCCTAATTAAATAAGTGAACGTGGGGGTGGAAGCTAAGTTAATACATTGGCTAATGAACCAGTTGAGAAATTCCTTAATTGAATTCCAATGGACAAATATGGATTAAAAGTGAAAAAACATGGTTCGAAAAGTAATAGGCAGACCCGTGTAAAAAAAGGGATAAAAAACTATTTAATTTATTTCCCAAAAACAAAACAAACTCTAGCTAGCAACAATAGAAGAATCCGTGGTTTGTACTCACTTCCCTATTGTTTATGAAAATTATTTATTGTGATACCAAAACAATTAAATCGTTCCCAAACTAGCATCGATCATCTTCAATTATGTAGGTTTTTTTTTTTCAAGAATACATTTTTTCTTCATTGAATATTTCCATCTTGCTTACTTCTCCTTTTTTGTTTTGGATAATCATAGAAAGAATATTAAAAATGCTATAAAGTCAATAGCCAAAGTATTATACAGGGAAATGACAAAACAAGGAAAAAAAAAAACTTTGAACAATAGAGAAAGAGTATACAGAAAAATAATTTAAAAAAAAAATCAATGTTGATCTGCTACAACAGAAATAAATAAATCTTAAAAAATTTCTTATTACATCACAATTTAATGGAATCAAAAATCTTAAAAAATCATTTTTTTATAAATAAAGTTTAAATCCAATACAGTCAAATAATAGCCCGATGAATCCGATGAAAGATAATAAACAAATAATTAAACAAGCTTATGATTCTCTCCTTAAAAACATTATTGTTCCTCCTCAACCAAATATTAGTCTCCAAGTTAATCTTCAAAACTTTCACTTGCCTTGAATCATTTCAGACCACTATAGCAGCGGTGAGTCTGGTGTGCTCGGATATTGCTTCCTTCTCCTTTATTTTTTTATTTATTAAAATAAGATTAATCTGAAAATAATATAAAACTGATGAAGGGCTTAATTTACAAATGAGTTTTAAAATACAAGGATTAAACATACAAGTTTTGGAATCATGAGGACTAATTAATTAATTAATTTGTAATGAAACGACTCCATAATAATCGTGAAACGATGTACAGCCCAGCCCAAACCCAGTGAGGATATACTACAGTAACCACATATAATCCCCTCCGTCTCAATTGCAACCCTTGCTCAGCAAGCATCATTCCATGTGCTATTGCCTAAGCAAATCTACATAAAATTCACAATGTAGTGCAGAAACTAGAATAAAACAACTTCACATCATGGCCAGATGGAACTCCAGAGAATCTAACAGCTATAATTTCTCATCCTCTAACGGTTCTTAGGGTCGAACTGATCACAAAGGAACAGACTGAAATCTCAAAGTCATCAATACTCAAAATTTAGAGGCATACGCGGAATAATCATATTATGTTAAGTAAAAGTTGTTAATGATATTGGCCACACTACATGAAAAGCATGATTGAGCCTCCATTTAACATGGATTTATGCAGGGACGAGATAACTGTACAAGTTTGTTTGAAGAAAGAACTTGGTGGATGAAAAACAAACGAGAGTAATTTTATTCTTTTTCAGTCAAACACAACCAAAGAAAAGCACGCATCCCCAAAACCAATTTCATATGAAACTGTGTTTGTATTGCTTAAATAACTAGAATTATACAAGTACATGAGAAAAAAAGGGGAACAAAAAAAGCACCACAGATAGCAATAATAAATTATCATATCGACTTGTAAGAAGAAAAGCTAACCGGAAAAAGAGAAGAATGGCTGGAAAGAGAAAAGCTAACCAGAAGCAGAGATGTACCTAAGTGCTGGATGTTTATCAGGCTACGTTAAGCTTGTTTGATTCTGGCTGAGAGGGATGTCATGATGTAAGTTTCTTCGTTTCTTCCAGAGGGGCTACTGTGAGGCAAGGGCAAGGCTTTTGTAGGCAGCTGGTTTGTGGATGCATCACGAGCTTTTGTCTTTAGTTGTTCCCGAATTCGACGAGCTTCCATGAGCATATCATGTGCACTTGGTCCATGACTTTCCCAGGCATCTATTGCTCGCTGCTGGAATTCAATGGCAAGGGTATAGCTGCAATATCCAAGAAAAGTTTCTAGAAACTATGAGATCGAAACCTAAAACAAAACAACCTTATATGACACTAAATTCCATGCCATTTGCTAGCTGCCGCAATGAATGAATGAATGCATGCATGCAGACATGACATGCTTAATTGCACCAGAAGCATTAACTTTAATTACCACCATAAGTAATAACACAATAAATCAACTGTTCCAGATTCTTTATAAAAAAGTAAATTCATACTACTATAAACCTTACCCACAAATGATATGATGATAAAAATGTACTTTTTATCTACCAAAATTAAAAAAGATAATAATTTATTAACTCACACGTATAAAAGTTGAGTCAATAGAGAATGTTATAATTTGGCTTGTTGAAGGCTTTTGAGAAGGTGGATGGTGGAGAGCCAAAGGTCCAGATGAAAAAGAAATAGAGCACTTGCTCAAAATCAAAATTTCTTGCATATTCACATGCCCTTTGAGAAGTGCATGCATTCTTGCATACTCACATGCTCGGCCAGGCATATATGATTTTTTTTTTCCTTTATAAAAGCTTCATGAAGAGGAAGACAGCATCAAAGCACTCATTTTAATCAGCATAACAGATGTGGAATAGCAACCCAATAATGATTTCTCGATGAATCAAAAGCCATGCGCTTGCAATAAAATCAGGAACCAGGAACTGAGGACATATTCTTACCTTCCCATGGCACTATATGCTTTCGAGAGATTCTGGTATGCCTCAATTGAATCTGCATGATGAGGACCAAGAGCTGCATCCATGATGTCCTTTGCAACTGCAAACATCTGTGCAGCTGACTGTGGTCTATCCAATTCCAAATACGCCGCCCCCAAATTGTTGTAGACATATCCAATTCCAAAATGTTTGGACCCAAAGCTCTCCTTCAACATTTCAGCAGCACTCTCCAAGTAAGGAATTGCCTGAGTCACCTTACCTGTCAACAAAAGTAACCACCCAATTCTAGCAGAAACACTTCCTTCTGAATGCTGTTCTTGTGGGAGCTTCTCGAGCATAGACTGTGTTCTCTTTAGCAATGAAATTGCCGTTTCAAACTCATTCATATTCTCATATAGCATTGCTATCTCTGAGTATGCCTCAGCAACTTCAACTGGAGAAGCTGTTTCTTTCTTGTCAAGAATTCCACAGGCAATTTCCAGACACCTCTTTGCATCTGCAATCTTTTCTAGATGACATAGTGCCTTTGCCATAGAGATGAACACTAATGCTCGAGTACCCCCATCTTTCTCTGTCTGCTGGACAACACCCTTCAAAGTATTAATGGCCTCATCATACTTGCCCAATGCAATCTGCATATTAGCAGCATCAATCTCAGCATGAAGCAATTCTGATCTAAGACCCCAACTCTTCAAAACCTTCTGTGACAGCACATTCTGCTCCAACGCCTTGTCATGTTCCTCCAGCCCACTATATATGACCCCGAGAAGCTTCCTATCATATGCAACCTCCACAGAATAATCCCCAAGTCCACTCTTATGTATATCCAATGCCTTCAAACCAAACGGCAAAGCCTCATTGAAATTCAAAACTGCAACATAAGCCTCTGCCAGTTCCCTATTTGCCACACCCAATTCTTTACTGCCTTTATCCATAGTCATTTGCTTGATCTCTAAACACTTCTTAAGATTATCTATGGCCTCCTCTCTCCTCCCCATCGCAGTCTTCACATTTGATAACTCAAGCAGCACAGCATGCAACACTGGCCTAATATCCTCAACGTTAGTAGTCCCCTCCTCCTCCAGCCTACCCAGTATCCTCTGTGCCCTATTTAAATACCCTAAACTATCATTAAACCTTTTTAAACTATAACTAACAGAACCCATTAATTGTAAAGTCATAGCAACAAGAAAACTAGGCTTATCATCACCAATATCAAGAACTTTCAAAGCTCTAGTAGCAAAAGTTAAAGCCTTTTCAGGGTCCTCACCTTGTTGGTCAAGTTTAAGACCAACTTTCAATAAAGCCAAACCAAGTTCTCTCTCATCAAAACAAACCTCCATATCTTTGAAAGCTTCAAGCATGCCCTCAACTGTCGCTGCAGACTCAAAAGCCTCTTCAATTTGAGATTTTTCCCTGATTTTCTTCTGCCTAGAGGAGATTTGAGGAGTTGTTTCAACAAGGGTACCACTATTTCGAGATGGGTTTGCTAGGGATTGGTGGGGCTTGATAATAAGGCCATTGGTTTTCGTGCAGGATTTGAGATTATTGGTAGGTGAATGAAGTGAGAAGTAGGAGGGTGTGTTTGTGGTGTTAGATGATAAGTAGTTTCTGGAGAGAAGAGGGGTTAGTGTTTTAGGTTTTTGGCGAGTAAGATGAGAGAGAAGTAAGATTGAAGCTCTTTTCATGGTAGGAAATTTTGTGAAAAATGGTTTCTTTTTTGTTTTGATCTTGGTTTCAATTGCTTAAACCTTAAACCCTTGCAGAACCCAAAACCCTTTCGAGATGTCTGGTTTCCCCTTCCCCTGTCTTGTCTGCTGACAGCGTATATAGAGGAGGGGTAGATGGAAAGAGGCTATTTTTGCTTGTTAGCATATTTAAAAGACACACACACACACACAAAAGAACAGGTGAAATAATATAGTTTTATATATATTATAATTGAAAAATATATTATTTTTAGTTTATTCTATTCGTGATATTCAAAAATATATATATTAAATAGAGAGGGAAAAAATTTATTAAATGAAAAGGAGAGTGGATAAAAAAAAGCCAATATATATCTAAATTTTAATTACAATACCATTAATATCATCAAAAAAATTTAATAAGATGAACTCAAAAATACAAATGAATATTACTAATAGTAATGTCAGTGTTCTATATTTGCCATTAAAATAACAAATAATTTACTTATCTTTAATAACAAGTATGGCCGAGTTGCTACTAATAATATTATTAGTATTGTTAGATCTATTTTCTTGAAAAAATTTTAATAGCATGTTTTAATTGTAACTTTAATATGTCTTAAAAAAAATTTCTCCTCCCTCTTCTATTTAATATTTTTTTTTTAAAGTAAGCTATAAATACCATGTTTCTTTCTCAATCACTTACATGCACAAATTATATTATTTTACTAATTATTATTTTAATTATGCTATTACAACTTACCATGCTAATTTTAAAATAAAAATTCATGAAAAGAAAAGGAGGATTCTTTGTGTCGTGTTGAAGAACTGTTTGGATCTGAGGTATTAAACAAGAATCATGGGTTAAATGAGTTAATTGATTAAAACCATGCAAAAACAATATCATTTCAAAATTAAGAAAGAAAAATATTAAAACAACATCATTTATATTTTTAAAAAATGTTTCAAAAAAAATTGTCAAATTTAAGAAACGAATCTAATATGCAACTGCAAAGAAATTGACTAATTGATTAGAATGGGATTTGGAATGTATCAATGGATTGCATTTGTTTTTATAGTTTCAGGAGGCTTGCAGTAACATAGGAGTCTGTTACCTTCCAAATTGGGACGAGGCCTACTTGAGAATCTAACCTCGTGATGAATCTTATGTACAACAAAGAATACATGGTTTCCTCTTTACACCCAGAAGAAATTACAGTCCATCTTCGGAAACCCATATGCATTCCGCAAATCTAAAAACAAGAACCCCTCGAGCTGCTGAAGAGGTAATGGACTCTCAAAAGCTAGGGGGTTCTCGAAATGCAGGGGGTGTGTCAGGTGGTCTGCTATAAATGTCATCAAAAAGAAGACTCACACTCCTTCCCGCTTCAATGTCATCATCCAAATAAGTGGTCCGGGACAACCTGTTAGTGCTTCTCCAGTCCAAGTGTTGCTCATGATCCTCTAAGCTTTCTTCCGATAAATTATCATAGCGATTTTCAGAAGCATAGAGGTTGAAATCAGGAGGCTCGAGAAAACTTGCTCGGTGGAAATCAGGAGGCTCGAGAAAGCTTGCTTGGGGCTGCGCACCAAACGGGCCACTTCTTACCCACCAATGGCTCCTAGTAGGATGTGCAAGGTTGCTGGAGTCATGATGTTGAAGTACACTTTCCTGGAAGAATGGGGCAGAAGTAGAAGCACCCAAATGAGACTCCAAACGGTCCTGGTAATTGTGATCCCAGAACTCTTCATCATGTCTTGCTTCATTTTGTTCCAAGTTGGATGGCGTCCAATAATCCCTGGAATGCCGTTGCTCAGCTGCTTCAAATGGTACTGCTGTGGCATCTTTCGTGTTGTTAGTTGAACAATGAGGTCGAGAAGTATAATACCAATCAAGAAGATAAGGATGATTCCTCTGATCTATATCAAGTAGCGACAAAGAACCCAGCTGAAAACCTGAAGTATTAAATGGCATTTCCCTTGAAAAAGGAATGTTTCTATCACCGGGGCCTCTGAAGCTGGGGTTCCCTCGCCACATTCTAGGAGAAGAGTGCGTGTGTCTAGCTCCCTGTCCTTGCAAATTTTGGTCCCTAAAAGTTCTAAGATTTAATAGAAACTGCTTTCCCTGAATGTTGGGTTCCCACGAAGGATAGCTACTCTGGAAACTGCAAAATACAACGATGCAAGATGAGGAGCAAGCACAGGGAACAATTAAAACAAAACTACCCGCAGGTACCTTGCAAGGCTTACAAGGGTTTATTTCAATTTCCAAGAGAGGACACGACAGTAGCAAATTTACAAAATAATGATTAAAATTCCCAGAGCAACTAGTTCCCTTTAAGGAACAAATACAATAGCATCTCATCCTGAGAATTTTTTTGTGCATGTAAAGCAAGCACAAGGACAGTCACACAAGGTTTCAAAAAGCTTATCAAATTGAAGAAGAATCGACAATTAAAATGCTAAAATCATACCTCAAAAATGATTTCTCCATCTTCCCCTGACAACTCCTCCGAGAGCGAGGTGCATTGTAGGGTGAGCCATAATTGCTATTTCCATGGTTTTGAAAATCAAAAGCACTAAAACTGTGACAGGTCAATAAAGTCAAGGATTGAATATCATCAATGTTACGAAACAAAGCTAAAATATGGTTTGGTATATAATTCCTTAAGGTTTCAGAATTTTTAATATAAGAACATGCGACTCACCCGCAAACATGGCCAACACCTTCAACATCCACTGTGAAATCTGCTATGAACTGTAAGATGTCATCCACACGCTGAAAAAATCACAACAAACCAGCTTGAAATTAGCCAATATATGTCATAGCTATAACTAGATAAACAGTCTATCAGGAGATGAAATGGATACCTTTGGGACAACAAATAAAAGCAAGAATGGCGTGAGGAAAATTGAAGCCATCTCCTCAAGTAACATCATTCCAGTATACTGCATAAAAACCATAAAACAGTTAAAATCGATCAACACTGCATCATTAGGGAGGTCTCATTTTCATATAAATGCATGAATTTCATCTGCATTACCTGAAATAAGGTTTCAAACTCCATACGGACCCTCTCAGTATTTTCTCTGCCTCGCCATTTCTTTGGCATATAATGCGTGTGCTGGACCACCATAGACATTGCCCCTTCTTGATCAAGGACCAGGAGCTCTTCTGTAACAGCAGCCCGGCTGATAGCTGTTATAGTTCCAAAAACAGCAGCATACCAAAGCAAGTTGCGCCCAAATATCTGCAGAATTTAAAAGACTATCATGAAACATACATATTATCATCAATTATGACTGCCAATTTTGTATTATTTAGTATCTTTTTAAGATAGTATAAGTACGAGTATATTACATGGCCCTCTAGCAAAGATTCCTCCAGAAATGCAATGATGATCAGGATAGCAGCAAAGCCTCCAGAGACAAAAGAGATGAACTTTGCGATGATTGAAATAATAGGTGAAGGGAACTGCTTTAAATAATCTGAAGCGTGCATCGCACTGCTACTGATCCGATGCTTGAACAAATGGTCAGCCTGCAACATAAATACATGCCATCTTAATTATAGAAGTGCTCAGGGAGGTGGATTCATATCAGAGAAATGATTTCAAAAATTGCTAGTACCCTCACTCTTTTATTGAAATAAAGCTACATTATGGAAATGGACTCTCATCTCGTGCATGAAAATGGCAAATAGAAGAAAGTTTTCTTGTAACAAAATAAATCTAGCAATCTAACATGCCAGAAACAAAGTAATAGATTTAAACAGGCATAGCCCTCATTCATCCAATAATTAACAAAACCCAACAATATCTTGCTTCTGTTCATTACAATGCCATCAAATAAATCAAGCACTGTTTCATACTCATGAGAAAATGTGTTATCAGAAAAAACACATCCTCTTCTTACCAGAAGCAATATTACAAAACCACCAAAATATGTTCACCTTATCAAGAGGTTTTGCTAGTTTAATACAAATATAAGACACAAGATTTGAAAAATAACTAGAACACATTCAGAAATTTGCACTCGACAGATATCCTTGCCAACATTTCAGAAGCAAGCAGATTGATTATGATAAGTTTTTTTTTAACATAATGTCACAGAGAGAGAGACAGTTAGTACCTCGTTGAATTCTCTAAAAATCCACCTTGACAAATTTGACCATCTTCGAGATGATGCTGTGCTTGGATGATTATAAAATTGTTCGGCATGCCTTAGGAAGAGATACACCAGCATGAATATAACAAGAAATGGTGAAAGGACAACCATTGCAAGACCAACTACCATAAGCCTTTTCTTTAATGCATTAGGATTATAAATGAAATCCCTCCTAACACAAAAGTTCCTGCAGAAGTACATTCTAATGAGAAAATGCTAAATAATCAACATTTAAACAGGAAGTCATGTGAAATTAACCATACCGATCAAACATGCTCTGTAATATGCACCAATTTAAGGTCCACTCAAGGGGCTTTGTTAGTATTAGGCGATGCTGCATTCCATTTGAACCTGTCCTGACAGTTGGGCCAACACCTGGAATCCACAGGGAGATTGGAAAAGCAAGCACTCCTTTATTGAGCATTCCAATCAAGTAGTTCTCTTTCCGCATCAATCGCATCATGATGTCATGAGCAGTAAGGTCCTTAACCACACACAGTTGTTGTGAATGTTGCAACTGAACAACCTTTTCAAGAACTGTAGCCCATGACATGGTTTGAATTTCATTGTCTGTGACATGGAGACTGCAAAAAGATAATATTTTTTCTATTATTGAAATACAATGAAAAGTCAATAAAAAAGAAAACATCTGTACTGAAGTAAACTTCCAACAAAAAATTTTCACAGATTAGATCAGCCACCTGTTATAATAGAAGTGCCGGATACCAAGAATGTCCCTCATTTGAGCAAAAAACCTCAAGAAACAGAAGATCCAGTATATAGAAAATAACCCTAAATATCCAACAATGATAGCTTTTGAAAGCGTAAGAGGGGTTAATGGGTGCAGATGGAGAGCTTCTTTAGCAAGATCACAAGGCTTGATTCCAGATTCAACTGCATCCATCCCACACTTAGCATTACGAAGACCATTCCAATCAACATATAATAAAAAAAATCCTGAGAAACCGATGGTGAAACAGATGCTAAAAAGCTCAACTATCCACTTTATAATAATACACCAAAGCCCTTTCTCGCAATAGTAATTGTATAATCTTTCAAAGAACAGGTCCAAATCAGCAATTGGTTCCACATTCAAGCTCTCGCCATTAAGAAGCCCTGAAGGGCTCTCGCAACCAGGACTTGGCACCCTTCTATAGTCAGACAATTCAATCTCTGGTGGAACATCGTCAAGCAAGCGGTTTGACAAAGATGATTCACCATGCCATTTCCACTTAAATATGCTCAGAGCATTAAAATTCTGCCCACTGAACATCATATTCACAAACACTTACAGTAGGCAAATAGAGCCAGTCCATTCCCCAAACTGCATTAATGGTTAAGGCAAAGCTCTGGAAATGAAAGAAAAAAAAAAAGATCAGACTAGACATGCCTTATATAGCTACTTTACACAATCCCCTGTTTCCTCGGTAATCAACTAATATTCAAAACTTGAGAAACTAGAGAAGTTGCATGACAAACCAAGCAACTTCTACTACACTCAACTAAAAGATGCATTTACACAACCACAGTATCTTCCACTTCTCGTTCGTCAAATGTCACTGAGAAAAGGAAGGTAAAAAAATCTTCTGGGAGGAAAAGAAGGGGCAGAGGGTGATGGAAGAAATTTTCCACCAATATTACCAATGCACCATATTAATCAGAATGAAGATGAGCACAGGAAAGAATGTGATATTGAAACATAATGAAATTATACCATCATTCTGAAAGTATTCTTACATCTTCAGTATCCTAAATCTATTAAGACCCACTGAAGCAAACATTTTTAATTAATGGGTGATAAAACAGAATCAAATATTCCCACATAGTTCATAGCATTTTGATCAAGTATCTACCTGTTCATCTGCCAAAGCTCAAGTCCTACAAGGCAATCAATTTTCACCCAGTTCTACAATACAAACAAAGGCCTCACTGCTGCCTGTAAAAGCAGCACCAAAATGATCTTGATCAGTCTGCTAATGAAAACACGCGTAAATGCATACAAAAATGTGAATTTTATAGATAAAAACAATATGGAAGGCCACTAATCCAGTGACAGAGAGGGAGTTTAACAAGGAGTTCAAAACTAATCAAGGCATCTACTAAAAGCAACTAAAAACCAAGATCAACTCCCTTTATTTCCTAAGACATGGTCTAGTTTTATCTCCCTTTTGTACCATATATAAAAGCTGCAATAGGGATTTTTCACTCTTTAACAAATGCCAGAAATACATGATCTCTCTAGAGGCATTGCTTTGCTTCTACAACGACTTAATTCAAGTGAAATAAGAATAGTGAAATCACTAACCACTTAAGATCTCTAATGGAACCTCCAATTCAATATGCAAACAAAAAGTCACAGACTTTTAAACTGGAAATAAATACCACTTAGAGCAAAACCCGGAAAGGAAAAACCAAATTTAATCGGATAAAAATTCACGAAAAAAGGAGATGGGCAATCTTTATCTGATCATATAATCACTATATTGAGTCAAAAAAACAAATTGCTTAATCTGGATTAAATTACTGCAGCTTAATCCCAGCTGTCCATATTAATTAGCAAATCAAACAAAACATTCACATCATTAACTGAAAAAAATAAAAGAACTAAAAATTCATGTTGTACGATATCATTATCACGTTAAAGGACAAAAAAAATTGATTCGAATCGAGATAAGACAAGACACGAAATTACCTGGAAACCCAGAAAAGAATAATGATATGACCGAAGGGTGGAAAAAATCAAGAAAAGGGTGAGGATTCAGTAAGGTCAACTATAAGAAACTGCACTGAAATATTTTGTATTGTCAAAAAGAATTGAAAGACAGAAGAAAACAGGACAAGGGAGGAGGGGAGGAAGGGAGGGAGGGAGGTTGATTGTTTGGGTTGCGTGGTTCTTTCTTGAGTGAATTGAAATTCAATTGGGAATTTTTTATATTTTAATTTTAAATTGTTATTGAGAAATGGTAATGTGAAAGGGTAATTTAGAAAGCTTTTTGGGCTTCTTCTGTCTCTGTCTCTATCTCTGCTTTTGTTATTACTTGAGATGGATGTCAAAAACGCAGTGGCAGTAAAGGTAAAAAAGCCTCCTCCGCGTTGGATTGAGCAGGAGGAGGAGGAGGAAAGGAGGAGACACAACTATACAAGAAAGCAACAACTGGTACTTCCCTTTACTTCATGAACTGGTTAACTAGCAGTTCCACCTTCTTGGTGACCAGGTTTCATCAATTATTTATTTGGGCATTGGATTAGAGTAAAAAAAAATTAAAATAATATTTTTTTTATTTTTTAAATTTATTTGTAATATTAATATATCAAACAATATAGAAATATAAAAAATTATTTTTAAAAAAACATAGTTTTAACTGTGACTTTAAAATCAAAAGATAGACACTTTTCTTTTACTATATTATATATTACAATTATAATTTAGAAAAAAAAAAGTACGGCTTCACTAATAAATATGATTAAGTAAAATAAAGGTTTCTGTGTATTCTTAGTTTCTCTTTATTATTTTTAAATAAGTGTTAAATTAAATTTAAATCATTTAATACTTTAATTTAATTAATATGCGAATGAAATATAAAACCAAAAACAAAATAAGATTTTATAGTTGGATTAAATTAGTGTGGATTTGATGACAAGATAAATATATTTTGTTTTTGCAAATGTATATTTAAATTTAAAAATTATATTGAGTTTTAACATATTTTTTTTATAATTTCACGTATTTATATAAAAGCTATTCAATAATAAATAATAAATATACTTATAAAAAAATTATTATTATTACAAGCCGAACCTTATTATTATTACAAGTTATAGTTCTTGCATTGTTGGACGATGCTTTATGAAATTTATTTTTGTTTAATTATATAATAATTAAAATAAATATTCATAAAAAATATTTTATAATTAAAATTACTCTCTTATTCATGTAATTTATTTTTTTATAATGATAAGCTTTTTTTTATTAAAGCATGGTTTATTATAAAAAAACAACGAGAATTTTAAAAAAAATTCATAGAATTCTAATAACTTGAGTAAAAAAAAATCTTTTTAATTAAAAACTCAATTTCTTTATTCATGTATTTTTTATGATTTTTTTTATAATAACTGTCTTTTCTAAATAAAAACTCTCATGATAATTAAAAAAATAGAAAAATCATGGATCAATCATTTTTCAAGCTTGTATGATAAAATATAAACAGAGAATTACAATAAATAAAAAAATAGAGATTTCATTCTCGTTGAATAGTAACTATTAACAAAAACAGTTTTAAAATAATTTTACATATTAAGCTAATGCATTATTATTAATATTATCATAAAAAGACATGGTATTGTAAAAAAGATGATTTTTAAAATATCATCTTATAATTTTTTTAAACAAACTTTATTGTAAAATTCTAAAAAAAATAAGAGCTATTAAAAAAAAAAAACCATGCACATCTAGGCCTGAAATGATGGACCTGCATGTCTGGCTTGAGATAAAAAGTTTTATGCATGCATGGAACCTGAATATACATAATATATATATATATATATATATATATATATATATATATAACCTTTAATTTATTATCATACTATTTATCAACACCTCGAATACGCCAGTGCTTAGATTAAAAAAATCGAAAATAAATAAAATTCGTCGCAAAATTTCTTAAAGGATCTAGGGAAAAGGGAAAAAAAAAAGGTTACACGTAAAAGAAAACGTCAAAGACCAACGTGTTTTGTGATTTTAATTAATTAATCAAAGGGAGAGCCCAGTCGTGACGGTCTTCGATTCCCAGTCCACCAGTACAGGGTGATTTTAACTGAGTTTGAAAAGAGAACGAGTTATGCTGAGTCACTACCGTGAGTGGCTGCCGCCACATTTACCTCGTCACAAGATGTTCGAAGAAGTCACGCATTCAAAGTTTGACTTCACTTGCCAATGTCAAAGACGTCTCAACTTCGCAGGTTCATCCGCCTGCTTAGTCCTAATAATAATTCACCGGCAGCCGTGCATGGAGGGACTCAGGGGTGCAACCCTATAGTCTCTTCTTTAACTTTGTTCTGGTGCACAGGGTAAAAAACAAAACATAAGCTGGATCCTCCAAAAAGCAAGCAACTTCAGCGGCATCACTAGCAAGGATAGAGCATATTCCAGAGGAGTAACGTGCCGCAACTGTGATATCGCCCGGGCGTTTGAGGGTATCGTTGAAAAATAATTTTAAAACTCAGTCTGATTTGATGAATTAACATGAAACTAGAACTAGGTTAGCTTTATGAGAAAATAAGGTGGTTGAAAATTCAACCGATGTAGTAAAATTTAGTTATAATTTATTAATTATTTTTATTTTTTATCAAATAGTTTTGTTTTGATTTATATAAAAAAATAAAATTAACTTAGATTTAATAAAAACATGTGATTTGGACTTTGGACCAGATCGATGGCGGGTTGGATTTAAAAACACTAGGTTGAAATGTATTTTTAAATTTTTTTATTTTTTTATTTATTTTTTATTTTTAAATCATTTTGATATCGATAATATTTTTTTCTAAAAAAATAATTTAATAAATTTAAAAATAAAATATATTTGAAAATTAATATTTAGTAGTACACTTTCACATATACAATTAATCAGCTCTATTGTTGCTCTCATGAAGAGAATTAAAGAAGGATTTTTAGAGAGAAATATTTGTTTTTTATTTATTTAGTTTATAAAATTAAATTCCATGTTTGATAATTTTATTTTTTTATAATTTTATCATGATTTTTATTGTTTTTCCTTTATTGTTAGGTTTTGTAGTTTATTTAGGTTAATATTTTGATTTATTTAAAAAATTATAAATTTATTAAAAAAAATTATTTTAAAAAAATATTTAACTAAGGATGAGAAGGCTAACTGAATCAATCCATAGTTTTTCTAAACTACGTTACGAAAATCAATATATATATATTTATAACTGGGTAACCAATCAACAAGGTAACGGGTAAAAAATTCAAAGTATCCGAAATATAATTTAAATAAAAAATAAATGAAGAGGAAAAAAATTTTAGTTCAAGACAGGAAATATAAAAATAATTTTAAATAATTCAAGAAATTCTCTACTATGACATATTTTTTAATCTATATTATCCGAACGTGACTTGGGATGACCGAGCAAATTTACACGTGCAACTTTACTTTTTAAGCACGAGGACATGTCACCAGCACGACTGTCCAAGTGAATGGCCCTTTCGTCTTTTCCTGGTCCCCAGTTTAAATGATTCGTCGTTTCCACCATCTAGCCAAACGGCATGTAGTAGACAGAGGAGCCAAGAAAGAAAAACCGCGGGAGGCAACGGACCAGCTTGGCGGGAAGTATGACGTGGCAAAGCTCCACCTCAGCAATTCCCGCCAAGAAAAAACCCCTAATACTGCTAGCCTGCCCTCCGCCTTCCCCATCGTCCTCCTCCTCCTCCTCTAAGTCTGCAAATCTCTCTTCACATCAAAATCAACAAGAAGAAGCACAGCAGCAATGAACTCCCTTCTATGCTCACCAATCTCTTCTTCAAAATCCAAGAAATCTAAACTAGATTCTGAATCATCATCTTTAACCCCAAAATCTAAGCCTTCAAACTCAACAATCGCCACTCAAACCCCAACACAGCAATCCCAGCTCCCTTCCCGTCTCCGCAACCGCCGTGTCGCCCTCTCTTTAAAAGAAGTCCGTCACATCGCCTCTCAAGACCATGGAACCAATCAAACCAAGTCCGCTCGAAGACAGATCGCGTCTTGGCCTGAGGATCCCACCACCGATACCACCACCAATAAACAACCCAAGCCCAGAAAGAATCAGTCTCGTGATGGGCATTATAAAATCCCCGATAAGTAAGTTTTTATGGGTCATTTTTTGAATTTATTTTCAAATTTGTAGTGATTTCTGCTAAATGTTATCTTTTTGTTTAAAACT